AACTGGAAAGTCTTCTCCTCTCTAGTATTTTGTGGTGAAGTCTGTTAATAAGCTTTTATGAAAAACTTTTGAAGTATCCTTATAGTATTTCTTGAATTGATGTATCTGGACAACTGTAGGTTTCATTCCTGCAAAATCTTGTGCTGAAACATGAGATTGGTTTTGGTAGATTTGGCCAGAAGGCAAATGGCCAACAGCAGTTGCCAAGGGAAAAAAATAAGTACAGGCAAGCACATTGCAACATTTACCTGAAATTTCTCGAGTATCTAGAATATGAGGCTCAAATATTTCTGAATTAGATATTTTCTAGACATAGTAGACTGTCATGACACTTTATTCCAAGAATTCTTTTTATTTTTGAACCCAAATACATGGTGTTTTATCTTCTATGTCATGCAGCGAGTAGTTAATAGCTTAGTTGCATATGGTGTAAAAGAGTATCTGCTGCTGTTTATTTTAAATGAGGCCCTGCTAGTCTCATCAGTGTTTACAGTGTTGTAGGAAGTAAAAACAGTGAAATCTCATTTCCTATTTAAGAGACAACAACAACAACAACAAAGAACAATTTTATATCAATCTTAGCATATTGGTTGTTTTCTTTCTTCTAGGATTCTTCAGTCTGCTCTGGCTTTCACAGAAAGGATGATCACACACTTCTTATACCTTTGGTCATGCACATTGCTTGTCTCTGTACTTTTCAGCCTTTTTCTATCATATTCTATTGAGTAGGGTAGGCAGAGGGAGGCAGAGTTGCAGATTGCTTCCTCACTGGATGGATTTTGGAGGTGAGGGGAAAGGGGGAAGCAAAGCAGCTGTCAAAGAGAGCAAAACTTGGGAACTCGAATTGAGTGAGATCTTTCTCAGCAAGCATTTTTTTAAGCAATAAACTTTCAACTTGACTTGAAACTATAAGCCATAGTGGGTGTTGGAGAAGTTACTCTGAATGGAGTCTGTACTTGATCCATGACTTCTGTTAGTTGGAAAGGATTCTATTTTAAAGTGTTTTTTTGAAAAAAATATTTGAAGTGGTTGGAATTTGAAGGCCAAACCCAAGTGTGGGAATACAGGGAATACAGGGAAGAATATACCTACTTTTAGATGGGGACAGGGAAATATAGATTATTTTCTGATACGAGTTGGGGAGAAGGGCCAGATAGGTGACTGCATCAGTCTGTGAAAAGAAGTGTTTTCTAGTAACTTTTGATTTTAGACTGGGCAGATTACTCCTGCTTGCATAAAATTCAAACTGTTTACTTGCTAATAATTGTTTATCAGGGTCAGGAAAGTGACTCAACTCTGTTAAGAATAATTGGAGGGAAAAACCATACCATTCATCCTGATATTCAGATCAGTTAAGAAAATTTGCAAGTTTTGCCAACTTTACTTATAAACCCTTTGTGCTACAGAATTTGTTAAACGATTTCTTAACTGGAGCTGTAATTCCGGAATGTAACTTTGCCATATCTATGGCATGTATGCAGGATGTGGCAGCTTAATTAAGAAGAACTTGTTTGATGTAGTATTTGGCAGTACAGGCTTGGACTGGTAGATTTTTTTCTCTCTTCTCTCTCTCTCTTCTCTCTCTCTCTTCTCTCTCTCTCTTCTCTCTCTTTTTTCTTTTTTTTTTTTTTTCTTTAGGCCTCATAGTGAGGGATAGTAGCATTAGGAGAGTGTGTGTGAGTTTTGGAATGTCTTTGTTCCTTCTCATTCAGATCCCATATTCATGCATGGATGTCTTTAAATCTGTGTTCTAAACTTCTGCTGTCTTAACTTATTTCTAGTGATTTTCTCTCTTAATAATTTGTTAGCCAAAAGAAGGAAACTTTGGAGTTTAAATATCCATTAATTGTATGCACCTTTTTCCTTACTATTTTGCATGACTTCTTTCTCTTAATAACAACAAAAACAACTGGTGAAAGAATAGCCAAACCAAAGCAACTTTCCCCAAAGTTTCTCTTGGGGCTCTGAGATTATGTGGGAAGAGTTATTCAGATGGGTTGCTGTTACTTGATAGAGCCATGAACAGTCTGCAAGTGACTACTTGGAACAGGAATTTGCTTTCAGAGTAAATACAATAAATGGTATCCGCTGTAATTTTCTAATGGATCTTCATAAAAATATTTACTTGTCATGCGTCCTCCCTTATTGCTTACCCATCAGTTAGGTGTTTCAGACACTCATGCACAACCCACAGTTTGGAAGAGAGGGGTAGGGGCACAGTTGTGCTGTCTTTAATGAAATCATAAATTGTTTAGGTTGGAAGAGACCCTTAAGATTGAGTCCAATTGTAAACCTTACAATGCCAAGTCCATCATTCAACCATGTCCCTAAGTGCCACAACATGTCTTTTAAATACCTACAGGATGGTGGCTCAACCAATATGTTGTCTTAATAAGAGGTGGTTGAGAGAGAAAGACTGACAGAGAGGGGCTGACTTTGTTGTACAGGTTACTTGGGATTATTTGTGCTGTTCTTAGTGGAGTTATGGGAAGGAAACTAAGGGAAGGGCAAGATGTGGTGTAAGTGCTCCTCTCAGCTTGGCTTTGTGATTCTTCAGCTTCTGGAACTGCCCAAGCCCTTAGGCTCCTTTGAGAGCTTCCACTGCCAACTGGTCCTTGCCAATGACTGAATCTCTTTTTACCCCTGATGTTTATGAATAAAAGATTGTTAAAATTATTTGATTTGATGTAGTTAAGTGTTACAGGCACATATTGTATCTGAGATATTTTTTTTTTAATATGGTAAAATAACAAAATCTTAACATTACAATTCTCAGAGGCAGAGCACTAGTTAAGGTATTAGTATGTGTAGCTCATGTTGGGGGAAATAAGCTATCTGTAATGTGAAATCAGAGTTGTTACCTGAAAATCTTCTCTTAATTTTATTCTCTTATAGTAGTTCTGCCACAGTTTTGTAGACAAGATTTGAAACAGCTTCTAAAATGAAACCCTTGTCTGTCCTCTGCTGTATACAAGCTGTTGTTTTCTCCCCCCCCCCCTTGTAAGAAGATGTGTTAATATTTAAAAAAAAAAAAACAAAAAACAACAAAACAGCCAAAACCAAACCAAACACACACACCACAAAAAAACCCCAAAAAACCAAACCTCCCCAAACAAAACCAAACCCAAACCAACCAACCAATCCCCCCTGAAATGCTGTCTTAAGCCTACTGGGAAGTGAATGGAAAAATTTTACTGTGAGAAGAAATTGCCTTGTGTAATAAAATTTTGTCCAGTTTTCTTTTATGTTTAATAGAACATAGAAAGGAAGAGCATTATTGACTGTAACAGAAAGACCTGCTCATACTGTCTTGATTTTTTGAAAGAGAGTGTTAATCACACTTTGGCTTTTCTGTTATTTGACATTTCAACTGATAAAGAGACCTTTTTCACTACAAACTGGGCCTTCTGTAATAACATTCTCAGGTATGACATTTGAAATATGACTTTATTAATTTAGCTTATGAACCTAGTTTTAAACATTAATATTTAAAATTAATTGCTAAGTTATGTTATCTAAGACTTAAACAAGCAACAGCCCCCCAATCCCCAAAATACATGGTCTGATGATGAATCTTTCCAAAATCAGAAAGTGACTTGATTCCTGGTGCTTATATGATAAATGCTAATTTGGAATTTTCTTTATTATTTTTCAATTATGTTGCTGCATGGTACCTAATTATAAAGGACCATTTTGTCCAACTGAACTAGAATAGAACACAGATGTAACTATAGCTGAGTCACAGTAGTTTTCCATCTTCTCCCTGCCTTTCTTTTGGCTTCTATAGCCTGCAAATTTGTCTCTGCCAATTTATTGCTGGATTTCTACTGCATGTTTCATTTACAGAGTTGAAATTATTGTGCTAAAACACGAGGTGTTATTTGTTAGTGCATAGAGGAGGGAAAGGAAGGGTGGCTGACCTTTTGGGAGAAATGTGTGTGTGTACAGGGCAGGGCAGTCAGTATGGACATGCTTTGCTTTGTTAAATGTAAATAACTGTGCTTAATGGCTGTTCCTAAATGAGATGGAGTTACCGATTTTTAGTTTGTTGTTTTGACTCTTACTGTATCGTGAAATTGATTTGTTTGTTGGAATTGTGTTTCTTTTTAAGCTACTGAGTTACAGTCCTGCTCTTCAAGGAATGAGAAGATTGTGTCGGTAGTTAATTTATAAATAGGGATTGTCCCTGTAGTATTGCTATTGCTGTTTATCATCAGGGTCAGGAGAAAATGAATGAGATTTAAAATAGCTTCTTGCTCCAGTATGCTGAAACTTCAATGTCTTTACTTTGTAACATGGGTTGTTTCTTATTTCTACAAATGTAAGAATTTATATGACTCTTCTCTGGCTCTCAAACTTCTTGACATGGTTTTCTCGGATTTTATGGTGCTTAAACTGCTAGCCTACAACAGCAAGCCATAACTAATCATTGTAGTAATAGCCCATGGTGTTCTTAATCTGCGTCTTAAACAGATTTTTTTTTTTTTTATTCAACCTCAATATTTAGAGAATGCTTCACTGTGAAAGTTTGTAGTCAGAAAACCACGTTAAACTTAATTGAGAAGATCAGTACAGCAGGGTATATCTTGTTTCGTTTCAGTACAAGGGTTTGTGCTAAACTTTGAAGAATTATTATTTTTTTTAAGCTGTGAAGATCATAGGTTTTTACTCTTTTCAGTGTTCCGTGACAGCATATGAAGTCAGAATACTTACTGTGAAGCAGTAAAAATTCTTAAAGCATGTAGTAAGTTTTTACCTTTTTTAGTGGATCTTTAATGGTATAGGTAGAATATGTGTTTGTACAGTTATCATACAGGCATAATCATACTATAAAGCTGCATTAAGAAGTGATAAATCTTAAAGAATTGATACTGTAATTGAATAATATGCTTATTATGAGTTCACTGAAATAATTGTGTATGCTTTATATTCCATTAATTGAATGCCATCACAATTAAAAAAAATAAATTGTGTAAAGCTTTAGTTTTCTGTTATACCAGTTACAAACAGGGAACGTTGAAAATTATTCCTTGGAATGAGCAGAAACACCGTGAAGAAGACTGGTGTGAAAAAGCAGAATGCAGGTGAGTATATAGAAAAAGCAAAATTTTTTTCTACACTTACATACATTTCAGATAAAAAATTTACTTACTAATTCTTAAAATGTACAAAATACCCAGGAAGACTCACTTCTTATTTTTGTACACACTAACTTGTTTTCAGCTTTCGTAATGAGACTGAGCAAACACTCTTTCATGTCACAGCATTATGTTCAGTGTGATTATGTGATGAGTAGCTTTCAAAAATGCATGTGAGCCGGGGGAAGTTACTGTTGGAAATCCCAATGTATTTATTTTTTTTTTTTACCCTTGCGCCCCGTTACTTGTCAGCCATAACGTTATCATAGCAGCATTAATGGATCACAGAACTGCCTTTCACTGTGTGAGGAACAGATGGAAAGCAGAGGTTGGGCATATCTGTGTCTTTAGTAGAGAGGATTCTTTCTTTCATGATCTATCTCATGTTTGGACTCTCTTACTAGTTACTTTGCTAGACAAAAATCAATACTTGCTGTGATTGGCATTTGAGTCTCATCAAATTATTGGTGTAATGGTAGGTTGATTGTTTCATTTTCTTTCAGAACAACCAGAAGTTTTAGAGTCATAGAATGGTTTGGATTGGAAGAGACCTTAAAGATCATATAGTTCCATCCCCCCTGTCATGGGCAGGGACACCCTCCAGTAAACATACACTTATTTTTTCTTTTTTTTGTTTTAAAGGATGATTGTTGAACCAACTTTACAAGATGAAGGCGAATTTCTGTATGAAACGCAACCTGAGTTACTGAAGTACAGAACTACTGACCTTTCAGTAGATCTCGTTACCGATTGGTATTTGAGCAGAGCACAGGAAATTGAAAAATATGCGATGCAGGTGAGAATAGCAGTGAGGAAATGATGATGGCTGACTCGAGCTGATCAGCTTTCTTCAACAGAATCCTGTCTTAATGTGTATTGATGGGCTGATTTTCCCTCAGTAATATATGCTGTGTCTCAATCTTCATTATGGCTTTTGAAGTATTTGGTTTTTTATTTTGCAGAGTATTTATGCTTGCTTTAAAGTCTACTAACCCAAGTAATTGATCCATAGGAATGAATAGGAAGGCAGTAGATTCCCTTTCGCTTGGCTTACCATAGCAGACAGTAGCACTTTCATAGTCCATGAAAAATGTTTACTGTTACGTTTTTTGATTGTAACTAAGGGAGGGAATGTTGTGCACAGGGTATCAAGAACATGTTTTATTATCTGTCACGTGATGTTGTGCCATATATATCTATATGTGGCAGTCACATGTGTCACTCATATGCCAGTATGTAGTACTGGCATGATTTCTTCCTCACAGGTTTATCGTGTATCTGTGGGACTCCTGTGCAGCTTATTTTTGCTTTATTTTCTTCATATTTTAAAAACTTTTGAAGCTCTATGTGGTAGAGATAAGCATTGCAGGAAGGAATAGAGCTGATCACTGACATGCTCTGATATTTTGTTTCTTCTCAAGCCATTTCATGGCCAATTAATGGTCAGCTAGAAAAGTCACGTTACATGCAGAGGCATGCATAACTTCAGTCAGTTATCTCATTATCTTAGTTTAAAGCAATCCTTCATATTCCATGCTGTGAGATGAAGTGATGTATTTGTGTGTGTGGTCTCCAGAAGGAATAGTATTCTCTTAATTTACATGCATCAATGGGATGCATCTGGGTCAAAAGCCTATGATGACATTATCCACTAAGATTAAGTATTTTATTTGATCTTCATAAAGCTGAGAAGAGCAATCCATTTAAAAATACACAGTCCACAAAAACTTGTAGGAACTTAGAATTGCCTGTTAAGCGAAAGGAACAGGGAAAGAAAATAGACACACGAACAGGACATAGATTGGACTTGAAGTTGGTTTTTTGGCAAGCAGTTTGTACAGCAGGTTGTTTTGTTTTTTGTTTTTCAGGTGGACTGTGCTCTGTCCCTTGTTCGTCTTGGCATGGAGAGGAATATTCCTGGTCTGCAAGTGCTTTGTGACAATCTGATCACTCTTGAGACAGTAGTTTATGAGACTGATGGTGATCGAACCTTAACTTTGAAGGAACTTGTAGAGATGAAAGACATTGAAAAGCTGAGGTTGTTGATGAAGAATGTAAGTATTTTAAATAAATCAGTAAGTATACCTTGATTTCTAGTAATTCAGGTTACTTTAGATCCTATGTATATAAAGATACTGTTAGTGGCTGACATTTTTCTGAAGAACCTCCATCTTTAATTCAACCAGAATTCAACACAAATACTGTTCCTTTGTTGTTGTGGTGTTTTGTTTTTTTCTCTTTGTTTCTTTGTTTTTAACAACAGCTAAAATGGCTTCTCAAAGACCTGTTTCTTTGTCCTAGGGACAGGTCTAAATATCAATAAATCCAGTCTTTTGAAAGCTGTGAATTGGGTTTTTCTGTTGACTCTTTCTAAAGGATCTTCAGCGTAGCTGTTGATGATGCTGCAAATACAACAACATTGAACGTTTTCCTTGGATGTTTTTTGATGTCTTTAAATATTGGCAAAAAATCTTAATATTCACCTCTGCAGCATATGTGTTTTTTTCATCTTTTCTGTGTTCAGCCTGTGCATGGCATTTCAGAATAGAAAAAGACCTTTTGGAAAGGTTGAAAAATACCTAGATTGAACAGGGCTCTGAAATTCAGTCGAAGAATACGTAAGCACCAGAGGAGAATATTCGTGCACTTGAAGCTGCTTGGAATTTTCAAAATTCTGTAGGATTTATGTAACCACTCATTGTTTGTTTTTCTGTCTTGCATTCTTGCATACTGAAAGAATGCTACTTGCTACTCTGACACGAATGCAAGCCGATCTTTCACCCCTTCTGAAATTGCAGAAGGAAGACAGCTCAGCTTTCCTCGGGTAATCGGCTTTACTCCTGTACTGCTTGGTTTCCCCAAGCCATTGGGTAGCAGAAAGATGATGGATTGTTTCAGTGCTTCATGATGTAGTGATTGTGTAGCAGTAGTGAATGTCAGGCTTTAGCTGTTGTTTACGATAGGTGAAAATACTGTTTCAGTTATATTGGTCAAAATATGTTCTGTTTGTTTTGGACAATGAAGCTGAACTTTTTCTTTTTTTTCCCCCCTCTTTAACTCATTGCCATTTCTAGTCCTCTGATGAAAAATACGTGAAGAATGTTTATCAATGGATGATCCCTTTCCTCCACCGCTGTGAAAATCAGTCCCCTGGTCTTGCAAATTCACTTTTTAAAGAATATTTAGTAACACTAGCAAAGGAAGACCTGACTCGACCTCTGAAGATATTTCAAAATTCAAAACCTGCTGTAAGTATAGAGCCCTGATGATTCTGCTGGTTTCTTTGGAAATTCTTGTCCTGTAGAGGTGAATTCATACATAGAGTTAGTTCATCTTCTAAATCAGGTCATCTCTCTGATTTTTTTCCCCCTCTTCTTGGACCCAGGATTTGTTATGTTGTAGAAAACATTAATTAAAAATTATTATAGCATGAGTTATGATGCAACTAAGTTGTCCTTGATGAGATTGTCACAGTAACTTAGTTATGATCTTGACCTAGTAGAACAAAAATTATTGTAAAGATTCTTCTTTGAAGTAATCTTATTGTGATGTGTTTAAAGTAAATTCCTGGCATATTTGCTTTTTAAAAAATGGATATGAAAGAGTTTGATCTCACTAATGTTTTTTTCCTGAGGAATTTACTAACAGTAGATTTCAAGTTATTTCTCCCACACACACTTCTCTTTCCATAACAAATGTAAAGAATAAAATGGGGACCATTAGGATGGAGCCAAGACTTCAATGAGTAAGGATTGAAGCTACCTTCCGTATGACTATTTCATGCTTCTTCTGCAGTTTAAATAATTATTTCAGGGCACATAAGCACATTTTTGCATGCTATTGAATGTTCTAAGTGTATGGACAGAAATCAACCAGTGAAGGAAAACAACAACTATTTTAGAGAGAGATAGAGAGATAGATATATATACATACATACATACACACACACACACACACACACACATTGTTGTGCATATTAAATAAATCTGACAAATGTTTGCAGCAGTTGCCTTCCTGTGCCCTGCACCCTCTCCACCTCTCGAATTCAAAAAGGGTATAATAATGAACCACTGTTCTTCATGTGTCTGCAGTGTAGGAAACTAGCTGAGTTACGTGTCATGTTGTAACTTTAACAGGTTCTTCACTAAGTTGTTAGCAAGAGGCAATTTATTTACTTGGAGTACGTATTTTTTTGTATTCAGAAGAAATGTACTGTTGAATTAGAAACAGAAAACTAAAACCAATGTGATTTCTTTTCTTGTTAGTGTCAGCAAAAAATTATTCCTGATCAAGACCAGCTTATGATTACAGCATTGGAGTGTATTTATAGTTGTGAACGAGATGACCAGCTCTCTCTCTGTTACGATATTTTGGAATGCCTTCCTCAAAGAGGATATGGGTAAACATTTTCAGCTAGTTATTTGTAAATATTTCAGATATGTTAAATGTAGTTATGACTTAATATTTTAAAAATAGTTGTTAAGTCACTAAAGGGTAGATGATGTTACTGGAATATTCTGTTCCTGTCTGAGTTGCCATGGTCATATGTCTATATGACCACTCTACCAAGGCAACAAAACATGATTTAAAGTAGCAGCCTAGCACAAGGCTTCTCTGTTAGTTTCTTAGCCTTTTATATCCTGAATTGAGACAAAGTGTTAGTGCTGTCTTACTTGTTGGTTGTCTTACAGTTAATGGTGTCTTGCACTTAGCTTATAAGGAGCAATATGGCCCTGAGAGAGAGATCTCCATATGGAAGACCTATATGAAGGACAAGTAATTCTTGAGGAAATGAAACTTAAGGAGAAAATGTCAACTATTCTCCCAATACCTTTTACATGTACGAAGAAAGAGCCTGAGAAATGTCTAGGGAAGAAGGAAAAGCTCAATTCTTGGGAGACTGAGGGACTCTCAATTTTAGCTGTCCTTCCAGCAAGAAGCCAAAGTGTTATTCTTTTCAAGCAAACATATGTTTGACTTTCATCAAGGAATGTTTCAAACTGCTTATCTTTAATATGAATTACATGAAGAAATTACAATAAGTATGGATAGATATATTTAATGTTATTTGTATAATATCTTTGCAGGCCTGAAACAGATAAAACTGACGCTCAAAAAGAACTGGAACAAATTCTTAGGTATTTAATTTTGCTAAAATAAATAATATATTCTTACAGAACTCACTAGGCATAGCCAAGAACATTTTTATGGTAAGGAAGCAGCGAGAATATTTATCTTGTTTTTAGTGCTGTCAACAAGATAATCTGTAAGTTTTTTGTATTCAGAACTTTAGAAATTTTGAATGGTTTTAGTTATTGAATATTATAAAGTTGCACAGATAGTTTCCTTGGAATAAAAGTTTTGGGGGTTTTTTTGGTTTTGTTGTTAGGGGTTTTTTTTGGGGGGAAGGGGAGTCGAAGGGAGAAGAAAGTTACTTCTGAAATATCCAGGGAATTTGTTTTGATCTTGATATTCTGTAATGCTTTGAGTGATCAAAAACTAAAAGCTGTGAAGATACATTATGAGATTATTGGTGATATGCATTTACCCTACAGTATTAACTTTTTTTTGAGTAAATAATGTTACTCTGGCTAATCCATACAGTTATACACTTTATGGAGCCTGTTTGCACTTGCAGTCCATTGAGACAGCTTTAAGACTGCTGCAGCAGAGGTAGCTGTACAACTGCACGGGATTAAAAAATGTTGACTATTCATTTACAGCGTTTCAGAGCTGTTGGAGAAACATGGACTTCAGAAACCCGTTTCCTTTGTGAAAGACACAAAGGATAATGTGGAGGAGGCACGGAAGCTGATGATTAGGCTGACAAGGCACACAGGTCGCAAGTTAGTATTCAAAGGGGAATGGGAGATAAGGGGGAAAGGACAGTAAGGTAACAGTATTTAGTGTTCAAACTGAACAGGGTGTACATAAAACACATTTGTTAAACTGATGATTAACACGATTAGTGGTTTGGCTGCATTCTCCACATTCAAAAAAACTGTCTTGCTTCAGACCTGTTTCAATATGTTTGAGTTCAAGTAAACAAGCCTAAAAGGCATACTGGCTGCAAAATACTGCACGATGATGAACAGTAAAAGTTAACATATTGTAAATGAGGTCCTTTAAGACCTATTGAATTTTATTGAGAGTGTAGGATTTGTAAAATAACGCCGCTTTTTTTTTTTTTTGGCATGTTTTCATAGGAGCTCTTGTAATAGAGTAATTTATTGATTTTTGCGTATTGATTCTACCTCTTTATATTTCCAGTATAATTTTTCAATTTTTCTGTTTTAAGAGCTACTTCATTCAAACCATCTTCCAGCTGTAGATGAATTATTACACGGTTCTTGGCATAAGCAGATAAAAAGATTGAACCCTGGGAAAACCAGCCATCACTGCGGGTTATTGTTTTTTCTTATTTAAAGTAAACATGCACAACAGTTTATTGGTGATGGTAGGACGTATTTAGCTTGGACATGCTTGAAAGCTTTTTAAGACTTCTAAAAACCTTTCCTTAGAAAGATCAAGTCAATGCCTCTGTAAGAAAAATGTTGATTTTTCACTTTTTGTAGAGACTTTTTGTTTTGCCAAAATGAAAGCTGATGCCACATGAAAAAAATCACTATTAGCTGGACTGGCTTGTGTAGCTTTGAAAAGTCTTTTAATTTGAAAGTCTCAAGATAATATCAAAAAACCTTCACAGTGTTTTTACTAGTAAAAGTTTTGATAGAGCATATGAAATTATATAGGAAACTTTGTGACTAAAGAGATCCATGGATGCAGAGGGTTAAGAATCTGAATACTGTTCCTATTAAGGAACAAAATAAACTTGCAGCTCTGTTCTCCTGTGATTGCATGTGATTGATTAGTCCTTTGAGATTGCCTACAATGAACAGCACTTTAATGATCCTCACTTGCTGTTACAAACTGTCTTTTACACTGCAGGAAGATAGCTCTTCCAACTCTCTGATGTACTGTTGGAAGTTACCAAAACCTACTGGGGGGATCTTGATAAAGATTCCTTAAATCCCTGTTCGATCGCACAGAAAACAAACAGGAGAACCACTTTGGGTACTGCATTGCTGTTGTCAAACAATTTTATCCCCCATACACTGTTTTACTGTTAGCTAATGTTAAAGGCATTCTGTCTTTAAATCACTTTTGGTTAAAAGTCCAATTAAAGATTGAAATAGCCTTTGAGAAAATTCATATTTTTGGTGATGGAACTGCAGTGTTATCTATTGCTTTTCTTTAAATTTGTGGAGGAAGAGAATGTTTAATTTCAAAAATATTTATAGGCAACCATCAGTCAGTGAGACACACTGGAAGGAATTGCTCCAGGATATGTTAGACATGCAGCAGAAAGTATATACATGCTTACATTCAGATACTTGCTATGAGGTGAGTTTTATGTTTTCTTACTGATTTATGTCCCAAGTAAGCTACAAATTCTCATCTCGTATTGTTGCTCACAAATGTAAATACATTTTCATGTGTTGTGTTATGTGGTTGTCTACTGGCTCTTTTATGGTATCTTCATTCAAATCAGAAACTTTCTGTGTTAATTTGTTTCATCAAAAGTCCCTGTAATAAATATCCTGTGTATCTTTTACTAGAATTCATCTTTTTTTTTTTTTTTTTTTAAAATTGATTCGGTCTTTTACTAGAATTCATCTTTTTTTTTTTTTTTTTTTTAAAATTGAGTCAGCTTCTTGAGACTTAGTAATTCTATGTACAAATGTGTTTAGTAATAAACACTTAAAACCAATGAAAATTCTTTTCAGCCAAGCATTTCTTAAACATGAAGTTCTGGCTGGATATTATCATCCAAGATCATTATAGGATTATGGACTTTCTACTGCTTGCAGTTGAGGTAAAATAATCTGAGATGAAAAATCTAATTTCATTGAAGAAAAAATCTGCATGTGCATAAACCCCAAACCTATGTCATTAATATTTGCAAAGGACAACTATGAGACTGATGTGGAATTTGCTATGACATGTACTGTTTACCTGCATTTTCACTTCAATATTCTACAGTTTATTACAGAAACAGTGCCATGTCCCCTATAGTCGGTCTTTAAATAGTCACATCTTTTAAAAGTTTGGGTGTTTTATTACAGTTTGCAGATTTACTTGCTTATGGCTACCAATCTGATTAACTCTTGCAGAAGTTTTGAAAGCAAATTAGAAAAAAAAATTGAAGGGAAAAAACAATGCTATTCAACTGATACATAAAAATGTTACTCTTGTCTGTAGTTGTACAGTTTGAAGTTGCTTAAAGAGAACTGCAATGTATTTAATGTTCATGTTTTGTGATAGGTTAAGCCTTAGTGTACTTTTTAAAGTGCATTTAAAAAAATGCACTGGAGTGCTCTGAAAATAATAGCGTTTGCTTTGCTCTGATCTTAGTATAAGTTCTTATTAATATTAAATTATTTTTTTAACCTCTGCACCATATGATTAAAAAAAACACAACAAAGGGTTTTGGAAAAATTATCTAGGAATGCTGAAAGTGCTTTGAAATGTAGTGCTGTTATATGCAATTATACTTTAACTTCAGCCTTGAGAAATTGATGAGGTAGTAAAGATTTGCAATCGCATGAGAGGTTTGTATTGGGATTTATTTTTTTAGCATGATTGCTTACTCTGTTCTGCTTTCATGCAAAATGAATCCTGTTTTCTTGAAGAAGAACTTCATGTCCATAAATTTTGAAAGAGGTAAATTGTATGTATGTGATCTTCAAGGAAGAAGGGTCGGCTATCATACTTTGCTTCTTTCACTGTTCCTTGAGGATTAATATATTGTGAAAAGGAAGGTGATCCAATTGTATGATTTTTTTTAAGAAGCACTGAACTGCATTCATTTCCGGAGCATGAAATGGTTTGGAGAGATTCTTCCTAGTGAAGAAATACTTTAATTTCAAGATGCGATTGGACAGGGTGCTAGATAATCTCATCTGTGCCCCCTTTCCCACGAAAGGTCAGACGAGATGATCTTTTGAGGTACCTTCCAACCTAGGCTCTTCTATGATTCATGGATTCTATTTAATTTTTTATTAAATTTAAAACCTTTGATAAAGGTCATATTGTTGCAGCTGTGATATTTTGTGAAATGATTAAAGGCATACGTTGCTTTTCATTAGGACAATACTGACTGTGTTTAAAAAAAACCCAAACCTACAAAAAACAAACAAAAAACCAAAACCCACAACAACTCATTCTTGTAAGGAATTGAGATTATTTTGAGTGTCTTAAAGTGGGCAAAACTTTGACCTGAAAATAAGTTAAGTGTTTTGTGGGAGATGCAGCATTATACTAGTATGCATTCCTTGAAGATAGTCTTGATTGAAACTTAAAAAACATATTATATGCTCAGTTGTAAATACTTCTAATTTCTTTAGTGATACAAAATTTCTTTTCATATGTTGTTGATGTTAAGGTCTTAATACTGAACTGCCTTTTCAGATTCTTACATCCTATTAACACCTCAGAATGTAGGTATAAATAATTTCTGATCTCTAAGTCATACTGTAAGGCAGTTAATAAGCTTTTTTTCTGCAGGAAGTAGAAGTAACTAGCTACTAGTTAATTTTAGCTTTACATAAATAAATTGTGGATATACTCCCTTGGTAGAAGTTATATATTCTGCTGTGACTGAATGTATTCTTTTAACTTCAAAGGCCCTTTTATTCAAAGGTCTTGGTTCCATACAATGCAGAGAAGCTTACTTGAAGCTGTGGCTGCAGATTATTAAACTATTGTTCTTTCTTTTAGATTTTCACAGAAAGTCTTTTATGCTCAAGCAGTATAGACAATATCCACTTGGCTGGGCAAATGATGCATTGTAGTGTTTGGTCGGTGGATCTACCAAGTTCATCAAAAGGGAAGCCACAGTACAGAGTCAGCTATGCGAAAAGTATCGAACTAGTTTTGGCTGCTGGCAGAGAATATTTCAATTCTTCAACAAGTTTGACCGATAGCTGTATGGATTTGGCCAGGTATATTTACAATAATCGTATACATAAATACATATTGCTTTTTAATTGAAACTTGAGTTTTGTTTTCCCTGTAAGAAGGTATGAATCTTATGTGGGTATATTTCTCTTCCTGTAAAATTATGTGGTAAATGGAAACAATATCTTTTGGCTTCTGTAAGATTACTTTGATTCTTTTTTGTAATTTTTTTCCCCGCCTCTTTATCTTACGGATTTATGGTGATATTTCAAAATACGCAGTTTATAGCTCGAATACTTGCTATGAGTTTGTGACTATGTGTTTATTCTGTTTAGCAAGATGTTTTGGTCCTTCTCTGACTTTTCTCCAGTCAGTTGTTTCATGATAACTTATTTCCTTGAGTGATTATCACCATGTGTAGGTTTCCTAGTAACCTTCCTGTATGACTTGTTTTAGGTGGAACGTATTTATCTTATCTTTAGCTAGTTCTCTTTCCTTCCACTCCTATTTTAATCTCCACTCTGAAATGTTTGTCAGTTCTCCTGAAAAATTTGATGGGTTCAGAGGGGAGCGTAGTTAACATACAATTTTATTTTTTATCTAAACATTATTTCTTAACATGTAGAGATAAAAGCCATATGACAAATTGCACAAAACCAAAAATCTTTCACAATTTAATGTTCATGATGAATTAAGCCATTTTAAATCACTGAGACTATTTTGCATGTGGATTTTTTCTTAAACCAGTATTACTAAAACTACGTATGAACTTACTATACCAGAATACAAATTCTATTTAAAGAAATTATCTAAAAGCTGTTTATGTCAATATAATATTCATAAAACATTATTTTTAAAAAAGTTTATTTAAACTAATGGGCTATTAATAACTGTATGCATTAATTAATTTTCAGAGCAATTTTGTGGGGGGTTTTTTGTGTTAATCAGCTTTTGTTTTCATTTGCTGAACCTAGTTGAGGAAACACGAATTGTGATAATGGCTCTAACATTTTGCTTTCAATCAACTTTTTACAGAATTTTGCTTTTTTCTTTCAGTATACGACAACACCAAAATGTAATAGTGAGAAATATTTCCCTAAATAATTACATATTTAAGTACATATGTCTCCAGTGCCTTCCATTAAATTCATTGTGGGTCTAAATTCAAGAGAGTTTAGGCGATGTTCTTATCATAACTAGGTGAAGAAGATTGCGACAATCCAAGAATATAATTTTGTTAAAATGTTTAGCCAGTTATAACAGAGATACATTACCAGACTTTGGCACTGTATGTTACAGGAGCACAATAAATTACTGGGTTTGTGGGTTTTTTTGTGTGTTTGTGGTTTTGGTTTTTTTTTCCCCCTCACAGGGGAATTTTTCCCACAAATTTAACTTTGAATTTGTTCAACAATTTTTAGAAAAAGACGTTTCCTTCCTATTTAGGTGCTGTCTACAACTTATTGTAGACTGTCCAAGTGCTATTCAGGAGGAGCTAGATCTCATTCGTGCTCTTGGCTACCTTGAAGAATTTGGTGTGAAAGTATTACCATTACAAGGTACTGCATATTTTTATTCTTCATATGACTCCTTGAACCACATGTGTAAATATTTATGACAAACAGACAAACTACTGTGTGAGTGTTGCATGAGTAAACTAAATGGTCCCTTCCCTGCCTCCAAACAGCTTGCAGGCACTTACAAAAAAATGATTTTTTAAAAAACGTTTTTTAATTTATGTGAGATAAAAAGATGTCTGCATATAGAGTCTGTGTTTTGGGACTTATTTTTAGCAGGGCTTTTTAATAATTAGAGTACTGAGTATCTGAAGCTCTTGGTAACTTCCGCAGAAATAGTTTGACCTCACCTTTTATTTGCAAAATAATCTGCACTTGCTGATGTGCTGATGGGCTTTAAAATAATGGGTGGGAGACAGGTATTTCATACATAGACAGTTTTCATGTCTCCACTGGGCTGTCTCGTTTTGAAGTATATAAAATCTAATGATAACAGAAGTTAACTTTTACAAAGTATTTCTTCTGAAGACTTGTTTAAAACTTTAAATCTGTTTTGTACCTCTGGCTCTAATTCTATGGAAAGTTATTGGACAGAAGTTGGGAAGAAAGGACAATTATGGAGAATGAGATAAGGGGGAAAATGGAATATATTGCAGTATACTTTATTGCCTATAGATTGTGCCAAACTAACAAAGTTCATTGCTTTATTAACAAAACCCCCATTTTTCTAAATGAAAGAAGTACAAGGGGGCTCATCTACCTGGCTTTCAATGAAGCTTGAATGTATGGTATGTGGGCAACTACGTGGAACTGGATGAACACTGGTATTGACAGCACTCTAAAGAGCTGGCTGAGAAAAGCACTGAGTACCAATGAAATGTACTTTTCTGTGGTGTTTTACTTCTGGCATTGTGCAGAGAAATACTGGGATTTTTGGAAAGCACTTATGGGTCTATGGAGGAAAACAAAGCAGATGTTCTTAGAGGCTGTTTTTACTTTACTTTGGTGTTCTCTCTCTCTTCTTTCTCTTTTTTTTTTTCTTTTTTTTTCTTTTTTTTTTTTCCCCCAAATATTCCTTCAAAGTGAGCTGATGCTCCCTACGTTATATGCAGGAATCTTAGCATTTCTGACTGAGAATTAAGTATGGTTGCACAGTTGACTTCTAGAGCAGAATTACTTTTTAGTCAGTTTGTTCAGTCTGTAGAAAAATACACATGCATTTTCTTCGTCTTTTTAAGTGTGGACATGAAGCTATCTCTTTCAAAAAAAAAAACAACCCACAAAACCAACATAATATTTCATTAACAATATCTAAATGATCTACATCAATTAGAATATTTGAAATCATGCCTGTAATTTTCAGGTAAATCAAATTAATCTAATAACTTTAAAATGTAATTTTAATCTTTTAATTAAAGCTCTTAAATGGTCAGTTACTTTGATAGAAAGTAATTAAAATAACATTAAGGATCAGTTATTCCTACAGTAAGAATTAGCAATAGACTTTTATTTGCACTTTTCAGTTTTCTGTAGTGCTTCCCTCCCTACTTGGATTTTTAGCAAACTCAACAGTTAAGGTTGTGAACTACTATTACTATGTATTTTAATATAATCTAGTTTGGAGACTCCTTATTAACATAAAAGGTGAAGAAAAGTCCATCTTTAATGAAAGTGTTTTACCCATGGTATTATTTCAGGTTACTTTCAGTTATGTTAGATATTTCAAAAAATCTTGCTTATACAATCAGTGAATGAAAACATTTTACTGCTGCATACTAATATATGTATGTGTATGATAGAATATTAAAAATGAAATGGAAAGTGTAATCTTTTCCTGCTCCTCTGTTTTTTAATTCGTTTTAGTGTAATTTGATTTCCAGAACTTTACTAATAGAGTTTTCATTATGCGAGTGCTTCTTTGCTCTTACTGAGAGGCCTAATATCATACGTTTTAAGCCCAGTATGCTAATGCAGAGTTTATCCCCCATGCAGACATTAATGTCTTGCTGAGTGTTAAGTGGAAGATCTGCATGCTGTTCCTCTGTGTTCTGAGAACTTGCATGGTATGAAAACGTTACATTTTCAAAGCAGCAGCCTGAAGTTAGCCACCCACTAACTAGCTAAAAAGAGCACTGAAATTGGTTCATGATATTAAATTATACAATTAAGGTAATTGTTTAATTCTTGGTAAAATCTTTTTTTGAAACACAGTACTAATTATAAGCTTCTCAAGATATGGTTAACACAACCTCATGATTTGCAGGCTATTCCTCCACCTGCTCAGAAAATATGTAAATTAAAACAGCCTGATGATTATGCCTATGACAGTTCTTTCAGTCTGTGTGATGTATCCTGTCCACCCTAAAATAAAATGTAGCGTGAAGTATTAGTTATTTAAAACATTCTGAATGAAAGTTAATGTCTGTTTTAGCAATCTTTCTGAGAATGGTGCAAAAATGATATTTAAAAAAAAAATTATGAAGGCGTATGGTTGGTCATACAAATTTAAGAACATTGAGCCTGAATACTTGAAACAAAAATAAGTTTTTGTTCAGATCAGTCTCCCTCTTCTTCCTTCCTCCCTTCCCAGCCTGACTCACTAGTGATTAGGGCTGGATATACTGTAGTGTTATTTTAACTTTCTGTTGTTAAGTGTAATTGATGATGTGCATGCAAGTTACTTTGGGCTGGTTTTCAGATTGTGTTTGCATTCTCATAGTCCCTCGCACTCTTTCTGCATCTGCATTGTTTAACCAGAAATACAGCAGTAGGTTCATTTGTACAGTCACTAACACCAGTTTCTCCTTTCAACAGTGCGTTTATGTTCGGATCGACTTAGTCTCATCAAGGACTGTCTTGCTCAGTTGTCAACGAACTATAAGCAGTCTGCTAAGCTCCTGGGACTTGCAAATTTGCTGAGGGTTGCAGGTAAGCTGGTAACAAGACACTGCATTGCAATGCAGCATGCATTCATGTTATGCTTTAGGACATTTGAGTTGATCATTAGAATGTATGTTCAAGGATATCACTAAAAGTCATCTGGAAGAGCAGTCATTGGAGAGGAATGAAATATTGTACATGAATGAACTATTTTTTCTGTAAAACAGCTGATATGGTCAGCTGCTCTGACGTTTCACTAATACCCAAAATAAAAACAGCCTCGTCTAATCTGGATTTTGAGTAAAAGCTCATTCCAGATTGGAGGATTTGCGGCTGAGAATATTTTGTTTTACAGTTAATTGGTAGTACTAAAATTCCAGTAAAGCTTATTTTCTCTGTCAAAGTAGTTTGATTTAATAATAGTCTCACTTAAGTTAGAGAGGAAAAAAAAAAAAAGTAATCTGTAATGCATAAACTTCAGCTGTTACACTTTTGTCTATGCTTTGTGTATCTCCTTTATGCACTGAAAATAATATGGTAGCTTCAGTATTCATTTGGAGATGAAATCTTTAAGGATTGAATGCTAAGGATATTAGATTTTTTTTTTTAATTATTTGATTTTTAAGATAGCCTGCCTAAAGTTTCTGGCACATCTTTTGATTTTTGAAAAATACTTATCAATGCAACTGGAAATACAAACTGCTATATTTTTATGATGTAGAAATAGAATATAGAAATATAAAATAGAAATCCATATTTCATGTAGTGTGATATATAAAATCAATGCATTCCAGCTTTGTCAGTGATGCTTGCCTGGCTAGTTCCTTTCTCTCTCTATTTGTTAAATCATTTAAAATGATGAAGATTATTAAGACGATAATTTCTTATGTTTTCAGGAAGCTTAGCAATTTTTGGATAGTATTATATATAAGGAGGGAGATATTCAAGGGGATTGGGTGAGGTTATGAACAAAGGTATAGAAGTTAAGATGCTGACCTCCCAAGGTGCCAAGGTCCCAAAGAAAGGAATCACTGGGAAGGTTGTCGTGACTCTGGTAAGCTCAGCACTCCTGTTGAGCACTGCTATTTAACAGAAGGCAGAGGGGAGAGGATGGTACCACATCAGGCAGCTGGATCCAATATATGTATTTGTTCATTCATGATCCCATGACTCTATGATTTTACATGTAATCTCCTGTTCTGTAGAAAACCTAGGATGACAGTCATATCTTCTTTTTTTTTTTTTTTTTTTTTTTTTTTTTGTCCTTTGCTTGCAAGACTTTTTTTGGGGAAAAAAAAAAAAGAGTCCTTATTGGTTCATAAGACAAAAATGCCATGCTGTTCTTTCCCTCTCTCCTCTACTTCCTTTCACATCAAGTTAAAATCTATCAATTTTTTTTTGTTAATATTTTTGGGTTCTTTAGGCTAATGCTGCTGACTTTTGTTTTGCCTTCTTTTTGAAGCTAAATGATTCTCTTTTGTATGAGAGAAGGAAAAGCAAAATCCACAGTGATTTTATGAAGCTTAAAAATACAAAGTATTGTGTCCAGTAGTGTTGTCCTAGTCCCTTTGTTGTAGGTCAGCATCTACAGTGCCCTGGTATGTACCTTTGAACAGGGAACATCTCCAGAGACTGAAAGATGAGAGGCAGCGTATATTAGGTAGGGAACTTTAGGGAATTCATATAGAGCTCATTGATATGGTAATGTCTGTGTGCTAGTGTTATAATCACAGTGGCACTTATTCAGACACCACTGAAAAGAGAGATTTAAAGAGATATTTAAAGCCAGATGATGAAATGGCCTCCTGATTTTCTCTTCCATGCGGTTACCGGGCTGGAGAAACCAGAAGATGAATGTGTGAGGTGGTTAATTTTTAAGCAGGTGAATGATTTAAAAACTACTACTTAGGCTGCAAATTACGTATTTATTCTGAGAGTGTTGAGGGCTCTGACTTTAATGGTTAACTTTGGGAATGACACTTCCTGTGATAAGTATGGAATTTTAGTAGTAAAGGTATATTGCAACAGTGAATCTTGGCAAGGAATACACTACTTTGACACTTGCTTTCTTGTTTCTTATGCTGAATAATTAACTTAGTCACTTTCAAACTTATCTTAATAACATTCAGTTGAAAGGAAAAAGCATCAAGAAAACATTTCCAGTAGTGACTTTCTGTGGTAGGATTTTTTTGGTGTTTTTTTTCTTTTTTTTTTTTTGCTTGTTTGTAAATAAGTAGTTTTAAGCTACTCATGATTAAAAATCATTTCACTGTCACTGAGGGATGACTAGTCATATTACTTATATGGAAATACTGTTTTCTGTGCAGGATATTAATTTATAAGCAAGATATGGATTCAGTATGAGAATGCCATAGTTGTGAATTTTATCTAAACTATTTGTTTTAGGAGATAGCCTATGGAAAACAGGTTTCTTTTAAGAAACTCAGTATTTCTTTAATCTCTTTTTAGTTTTTTTGGACTTGAAAGCTATAAAGAGCATTCCACTATTACTGCAGAATTTTTGTGCCTGACATTCCATCCCATTGATGAGTATCCAGAAGAAAAACCAAAAGCATACAAAGGAAACATGATTGTCATCACCATTTTAGGTCATGCATGCAAATGTAATATTTTTCTAACAGATTAAAGAAAATCTGTAGAGCTTCACTCTTAAGTCCTCAATTACTGCTGTACGTGCTTTCAGTGAGTGCTGGAGTAGGTAACCTTACACTGAATTTAAAATTGCATATCATTTTATTAGGTTAATAATACCTTTAAAAACAGATTTTAAGTGGAATTCTAGCGTAGCTTGAATAATAGCCTGTAAATGAAGAGTCTCGTAAAATTTAATAGTAGCTTTTAACAAAAAAAATATTAAAGCAAGACATAGAAACACCATTTCTACATCTGTCAACTCATAATTTTAAGTTATTGAGTTACAATTAATTGTTAATATGATGAAAAGTTATTTTAGGACTTGGTAACCATAAGAATGATAACAAAGGCTAGTATAATTTATTCAACAAATTAGTTTGTAGTCAAAAGGGCAGCTCATGCATACAGATTTTTAAGATTTATGAATGAGTATATTTTATTTTAAACTGAAGATTAGAAAAGGAAAACCTTCCTTGCAGTTTTAACACAGATAATCTTTGTTAGCAGGTTTAAAACTACTGGGAAAGGGTAACTTGATTTCTAACAGCTTATGATGAAAGTGAATGGTTTTATGGAGATATATTGGGATTAGTCTAGATATTGAAAAAGAATCTAGGGATTGAACTTTATGGACTTGCTTAATGAAGAATTAGATAAAGTGCTACTCGAAGAAAGAATTGTTTTTCATCCCTAATTGGTTTTCACTACTTATGCAATTATCCTGATTTATGAGCCACCTTTGCTGTGAAAGAAGTTCTAACTTTGTCTTGTGGAACATACTTGCGGTATTGGTTATGCATGTTCAAATTTTCAGTCCCTTCCGTTCCTCGTCCACCGTGTGTATCTACCAGTAGAATGCTTTCTTGCGCTTTATCAGATAACTGGAGGAATTTATTTTAGCATTTCCCTCTCTTGGCTCCCCCTGCCACCCCACCCCATATAATTACTGACTGTGAAAGACCTGTTTGCTACATCTATCCATACCTATATAAATTTTATACATAGTATATAGAGAGTATATAGTATATGCTACGTTATACTATATATAGCCTATAAAATACTATGAGCATATATAGTTCAATTTCAATTGTAAATGAATGCATTTGCTGTGTGTACAAGGTGTCGTGGTTTTACCCCAGTGGGCAGCTGAGCACCACGCAGCCGCTCGTTCACTCCCCCCTCATCGGGATGGGGAAGAGAATTAGAAAAGTTACAGTGAGAAAACTCGTGGGCTGAGATAAAGACAGTTTAATGAGTAAAGCAAAAGCCGTGCGCACAAGCAAAGCAAAGCAAGGAATTCATTCACCACTTCCCATGGGCAGGCAGGTGTTCAGCCATCTCCAGGAAAGCAGGGCTCTGTCACACATAACGGTTACTTGGGAAGACAAACGCCATTGCTCCGAACGCCGCTGCCCCCCCCCCTTCCCCCAAGCTCCTTATAAACTGAGCATGACGTCATATGGTATGAAATATCCCTTTGGTCAGTTTGGGTCACCTGTCCTGTCTGTGTCTCCTCCCAACTTCTTGTGCACCCCCAGCCATCCCGCTGGCAGGGCAGTGCAAGAAGCAGAAAAGGCCTTGGCCCCGTGTAAACACTGCTCAACAGTAGGTCCATAGAACAAAAACATCTCTATAGTATCAATGCTGTCTCCAGCACAAATCCAAAACGTATCCCCACACTAGCTACTATGAAGTAAATCAGTTCTCTCAGCTGAAACCAGGACACAAGGGTAGAGTGCACACGGTCATCCTCAAGGAGCTTTGGGAGCTGTGTTCTCTGAATACAGCGTGTTTAGAGAGCAGCACTGAAAGTGAATAGTAGAATTTATATTCATACTTATCAAAGCTAAAATATTGCTTAGGTAATGATATATCAGCTAGCTTCTTAATTGCTTTAAAGTATTTGATTAACAACAGTAAACTCTACTGAAGCTTCACATCCGTACCTCTGTAAAGTAGGTACACAAGTGTAATTTCACAGATGGGCAAAGTGAGTGAGGGAGAATGTGCTCAGCATGACAGCCAGAAAGTCTGCACCTGCTCAGGGAGCTGGAGCTATTCAATGTCTTGTGATCCTCACTTAATCCACACTCTTGGTTAAGAAAGGGTTTTCAAGAATTCACTTTATGCACTTGCTTACAAAATAGAGGAGCAAAAGAACAGTTTAAAAAAAAAAAAGCTTATGTATCAGAAATTAAGAGCATCTTCTCTACTGTGTATCAAAAAGATCTAATGAGCATTGCTCTTAATTTTTTGAGTCAGGCTTTCTAGAAATGTTTTCTGTCGATTATTCTCTTTTCTCACAACTTTCTATGTTAATTTAGTTAATTTTAATATCCATAAACCAATTCTAGTAACTTTAAGCTCTGCATACGTTCCTAAGTTAAAGCTTATTTTTGAAATCTACCTTCCTTAACTCTGACTTTCTTGCTTAATGCATGTGGAAGGAACCATACAGATGATTTCTGATATCTGAAATGTAGGTGACATGGAATTTCTGGAGTATACATACAATTTTGATACCATTTGACTTTTAAGTTTTTATGACTTGGTTTCACTCAAGATAATGTTGTTTCATCCACTCACAAATAGCATGCATCTTACCCAAAGTGTTTCAATAAGTTTTTTTATTTATTTGACCCAAATTGGATCCAAACTTTAAAAAAGTATTTGAACATCCTTTATTTCTCAAGAAAATATAATTTTTTATTATTTCTGAGCTTCCAGTTTTTCCTCTCATCATTTGTAATAGAATCATAGAATCATTTAGGTTGGAAAAGACCTTTAAGATCGAGTCCAACTGTAAACCTAACACTACCAAGTCCACCGCTAAACCATGTCCATAAGCACCACATCTACACATCTTTTAAGTACTCCCTTTCAGGTATGATGCCATATCTGCTTGTTTCAATTTCTGTCTGAATGCTGAATGTCATAACAAAAAGATATGGAAAACTCTGGAGACTTAAATCTTACTGGGTAGAGCAACCCTTAGAATATAAATGTATTTTCCTTATGACATAAGGAGGCAGTAGTCTGAAGGAGCTGAACACACACAAACTTTCATAGATCACAAAAGGGAAACAGAAACTAAGATATCCTTTCCAGTTTCTGAACTTGATTTGAGTCTGGATGTCAGACATTAACATGAAGGCTTAATGCAGAATTACTATGTAGTATAATAAGGTCACCATTTTAATAGTTTTTCTCATTGAACCTTTCTTGGTTTCAAATCCTGGATGTCTGTTAAAATGAGAAGGGGAACAATTCAGAATTAAAAACTTTCACTTTTATAAGACTTTATTACTAAAGATATCCTCAAATGAGGCATCACAAAGCTGAAGCAGTGAATTTTTTCATGTTTGAATAGAACAAGACCATGCCTCTAAACTGCAGCGGGTAGTATTTTAAGTGACTGCGCTGTTGAGGCACGTGAAAAAGGGCTCGGGCTGTGCATTGTGGAGGATTCACTAGTCGTGTCGGAGCTGATGACTGTTCTGTGGCATAACAGCGTGTGTCGAGATAATGGAAGTTAAATGAGTGAGCAGTGGAGATAAGATGAGCAAGTATAGCCATGGACTGGAAGGAAAATGAGCCTTATATTTCATGCTTGCACTTTGGTAAAACATGTGGAGATGTATCCTACTGCATCAAAACTAATGAGCTAATACATTGGGGATGGAGGACCTGTCAGTATACGACTGCTCAAGCACAATTAAGAAGAAAACTTCTTAAGTTTTCCTTTCCAAGTGTTCCTCCTCTCTTCCCTCCAATCCCACTGATTTTTAAGTAGTAATAAATAGCAGTGATTATTTTGTCTAGCTGAAATCTGAGGGACAATGGTTTGATAATTTCTTTTGCCTTTTATTTGTGTCTGCTACTTACTCAGATCTCTGTAAGTAGTAAAGCTGTCAGGGTGAAGTGGGCATTGGAAGGTGAGTGGCAAGTACGGATCTCTTGCTTATAGAAATGACAGTTCACATTTAGCTTGGGTAGATAGAAGCACCTCTTTGTCATCTGTAATTGCTTTTACCCAGATGAGAAGTTGCCAGGTTCCAGAGGGCAAAATTTTGCAACAGAAGAGCCTTGGATGTGATTAATTTGCAACATTGTGTGTTGGCAGTATATAGAGTAAGAGGCCAAAAGATAAAAAGATAAAATGTTCTCCCAGCTCAGTTAGTTATGATGTGCTGGGATTAGGGGAATCTTGATTGAGTTCAATAATTAGGGTAACTCCACTTCCCTGAATGTCATTCTGGTGCAACTGTTTCATGTTTTCTTTTGAGAAAGCTTTAAAAAGAAATTTGCTTTGCCTGCATTGATGCATCTGCAAAGTAGAGTTAAAAATAACAGCTACGTGATTTAAGACCATGTACTCTTTAAATGGTTTCTGGAACCGAATCCGCTTAACCTTCTGAAATATTTGCATTTCACATGTTGTAGTAATACAGTTTCATAAACCAGTGCCCTTTTCAAATGACTGTAACAGTAATAACTGCATAAAATCGCTTTTAATAAGAGGGGAGAAACATGAGCGAGAAGCTTGTATTGAAAAAAATCCACTCATTTTTCTTCTCTTCTTGCCATCCTTCTTTCCTAAATTAAAATGAATAGCAAGGGACTATTTTTCCTGGGTACGTTTAATCACGTTCTCAGATAGTGCATGGACATACACACTATTTTGAGCACAAGCCTGGACCAACTGGTGTCAGTAAAGTAAATAACTTTTATTCTCTTGTGTTCATTCTAAATTGGAAAAAGCTTAAAAAAAAAAAAAAAAAAAAGACTGGTAAACAGTGACAGGTATAAATGTTATTTATATTGACTTTAACTGGCTTTGAAAAGGAGATGAGTTGTCTGATTAGATTTTCATCTGTGAATGCTGCTGTGTTAGAATTAAGGTCAGGACACTTTTCAACAGAGATTCTTCATGAAACTTTAGTTGGAAGAGATCAATAGTATCCAAAGTGTTTCTTTTAACTCATAACTGGGGGAAGAGGCATTGTCCAGAAGGTCTGGTGACAAAGATGCATGTGTGGTGTGAAAAAATAGTTTCAGTCCTACCTGCTAAATTTATTAGGGTACGGGTTTTTAAATACCTGTATCTTCCACATCTCATGAATTAATTTGCTCCGTTAAGTGGAAGTTTAAACTGGGGCTTTGTATAATGTAACAAAACAATTAAAAATGTCAAAATTATTCTTCTATTACAGTTCACAGAAGTTTTTTTTCAATGTCAGGATTTCGATTTATGTGTCCCTTATCTTAAATACCAGTTTTCATCTATGTCTTGGCCATCACATAAATAAGTTTTTCAAAATATTTTTTTAACCTAGGCATAACATGTTCTGTAGCTTATTTTAGCCAGTTATGATGCCAGTGTTTTTTAAAATACATAACTATTTTTATTGTTTCCTTCAGGAAAAGGCAGATAATTTTATTTCTGCTTCAGATTCAAGACAGGCCTTTCATGTTGTGGCATATAGTTTTCTTAAGAGATACAGTAGCAAGGTTAAGTCAACCATTAATTCCAATTAACTAATAAAAATGTTGAATTTTTCTTACAGGAGATGATCAGATGGAGAGAAAAGGTCAAGTTTTAATTCTCTTAGTGGAACAAGCTCTCAGTTTCCAGGACTACAAAGCAGCTAGTATGCATTGCCAGGAGCTCATGGCCACAGGTGAAGTGACTAAATGGGGGTGGCATGGGGTGATAGTGGTGGAAATCCGAGTTCTGACTCTCCGCTTACTGTGAAGTACGGTGCTTTGGATTGGTCCATTTCCTTCAAAAGTCAGTTACATTTGGCTTGTGGAAGTCAACGGACATCAGCATGTCAACTGTAGAAAGCAGGTGGTATGAAATACGACAGATCCTGTTGTCATGGAGCAGGAACTCCATGCAGTCATGGAACTACAAAATACTTAAGCCACAGTGACTTCTGGAGCAATGTTGTCTTTTTCTAGATCAGTTTAGTTCACTGAGATATCTCAACTGAAGTCACATACTGTGATTCAGATAATCCCTTATTTTTTGCGTCAGAAGCTCAAAAATATATCCCAGTAGGGATTCTATTTCAATTGTCTCCTCGGTACTTTTTTTCTTGTTAAAAACGCAAAGGGAAAAGTTTTAATTTGTTGTATTGTTTAAATCCCATTTGCTATGTTTTTCTATTAAGTTTTTGTTAATGAATGCTCGTGTGTAACTCTATTGAGATTAAACATGTATGTTGGTCCATAGACATTAATTATCATTTACACATAGTCATGTTTCTTCTCTGTAAAATTCTTTATGGAAACATGTTTCAGTATCTTTCTTAAGCTATATTTCAGTTTGCTAAAGTTCATTGACGTAATGTAAAATCTTTCTCTGCAGTTGCTATACCACTTGTTCATAGAGTCATAGAATCATAGAATGGTTTGGGTTGGAAGGGACCTCAAAGATCATCAAGTTCCAACTCCCTGCCCCCGCCATGGACAGGGACACCCTCCACTAGACCAGGTTGCCCAAAGCCCCATCCAGCCTGGCCTTGAACACTTTCAGGGATGGGGCCTCCACAACCTCTCTGGGCAACCTGTTCCAGTGCCTCACCACCCTCACAGTAAAGAATTTCTTTCTAACATCTAATCTAAATCGACCCTCCTTCAGCTTGAACCCATTCCCCCTTGTCCTGTCACTACACTCCCTGATAAACAGTCCCTCACCATCTTTCCTGTAGGCCCCTTCAGGTACTGGTAAGCCGCAATTAGATCTCCCCGGAGCCGCCTTTTCTCCAGGCTGAACAATCCCAACTCTCTCAGCCTGTCCTCACAGGAGAGGTGCTCCAGCCCTCTGATCAGCTTCCTGGCCCTCCTCTGGACTCTCTCCAACAGCTCCATGTCTCTCCTGTACTGGGGCCCCTAGAGCTGAAATCCAGAGATTTTCATCTCTGGAAATAATTACAAGAAATAAAATTTTGTTAGTCAACTGGGTAGGGATCTTGTATTTAGTTTTCAATCTGAAAACAATGTTACAGGCTGTAGTGATAAGTGCTGACTTTTATTTCTTACTAAGTTGTGTGCACATTGTAAAAGACAGTTCAGGTATCTTTAAACTGGACCTATACTTTTGGAGAGACATTTGCCAGGTGTGTCTGGATAGCTCCAAACTAAACTTCCTGGCTGTCTGACAAAAGATGCATGTGATATATAGGAGCTGATGAGAGGAGGTGAGAGGCAGATTCCTTTAACCTCCTCCTACTGCAGGAAAAATGGATCCTAGCTGTTAGTGATATTTCTCTTGCAACACAAATACATGCAAATGTTTTTGCCCTTTGTAATGTACAAAAACATGGAAGGGAGATGTACACAGCAAGTACTATATGTAGTGAGACAGTTACCCAACTATTAGACTTCCAACCTGAAGGAGCTTTTTTATATGTTTCTGGGAACCACAGTTCCTTGTTATTTCTACATTGTACCCCCGTGAAACAGATGAAAATGTGACTGCAGCTAGTAGGAATGTGCAGGTGGTTTATATGTCTACCTTTCTATAAAAGCTCCTAAAATACTTGTGCTAGTTATGTGGTTTGTATATGTGAGGATATGAGTGGAGGTAAATGATATATGTATGTTAAGATATTAGAGAAGATGGAATTTGTTTCTCTGGCTCTTTTTTCTGCCTTGAGGTTGAGGGCAAAAAAAATCTGAGATGAACTGAGGTTCTTTTAATTTATCAAGTGATATTTTTTTTTTTTTACAGCCACTGCAGTAAGGTGTTTAATATCCTACTCTGAAGTAAATTCTGATTTTCTTATTGCAACATGTAAAAAGATATAGTGTGTAGGCTTACAGATACCTGCTGTACTGATATTTACAATGTATTTACAATAATGAATCTTGTCTGTATTTGGTTAGTCTAAAGTTGAGTTACATCTCTGTTTTGTGGAGCCTTTATGGTTCCTCTCTCAGGGGATGTTGTGTCAGCAGGAGTGCCACATGCCCTCCTTTATCTCATCCAATAAGAATTGCGCAGCATCCTTGTATCACTTGTGAAGTTTACCAACCTCAGAAGTTTGTTTTGTGTTCCCTTGTAGGTTATTCTAAAAGCTGGGAAGTATGTAGTCAGCTTGGGCAATCAGAAGGCTACCATGATTTGAGTATGCGTCAAGAGCTCATGGCTTTTGCTCTGACACACTGTCCCCCAAGTGCCATAGAGGCTTTGCTGGGAGTGAGCAGTTCGTTGCAAACCCAGGTAGGTGTTTCTGAAACTTCTTTCATACGAGTTCAGTGCTTACCAAACTAAAGGGGACTTGTGCTCATTTTAAAGTTTGTTCCCTTAATTTCCACCCCCCCAAGTTTGTATTTGTTCTACTGTATTTTTCTACTTTCACTGTTATATTTCAACAAATGAGGTCTCTTTATAATCATTTTTATATGATGAGTTGGCTTCTCAAGTAGAAGTGCTATTGTATTCTCTATGTTCATTTATTGCCTGATTTAAACATTTTACTTGCTAATGCAGTTAAATAATTTTTTAATGTTCTGTCACCTGTTTACACCTTGTAACGCAACTTCTTTAAATGCCCACATAAATGTCTATTCAATGTTTATTCTTACACTTTTACAATCTCTACCCGATATACAATGAAATTCTTTTCTCACTGATTTCAACCATGTAATGGTTTTAACAACTACAACAGACTTCACGTCTGAGCCATCTTTATTAACTCTGCAATGACTGACTTCTTAATGGAATCAGATCTTAGATGTTCCGCTGATCATATTATATATGTGGGAACACATAACTGGCATTCAAATACAAGTTATGGCAAGATGACATAGAAAACCTTTTGCAAAGTTTTATTTGAAACTGCTGTGCAGTAATTTAGGTTGTTAAAAACGTTAAGTTTCTATTAAGTGTAATAGTGGCTTGGCCTACGTATCATTGCTTGTTTAAGAGTTCATATTTGTCTTAGTTGTCTAAGAGTACACAATGTTCATAGGTTTATCTTTGTATAATAAAAAAATCTTAGAAGGCTTGCATTCTGTATCTGAAGAATGGGGGAGAAGGGAGCAATAGCTACTGTATGTATGCAGTCTAAGGCAGCTGCAAGTGTGTAGCCTTTTTCTTTACAAAATCGCTTGTATAGCAATGTGTATGAGAAATACAAGCAACATCTGAAGGCAGTCTGTACTGCTTCAGTAACAGGATAACATCAGAATAAAATGCTGCAAAGAATTTGAAATACAGTCTAGCCTCTGCAAGCTATTTACTGTTTTTTTTCATCATGAAAGCACTCAAATTGAAGAGATAGGTACAGTTATGAGCCTAAAGACAAGCGGAATCTTTGCAAAATTTACCTGTATGTTATAGAAATAAAAACTTGCTTCCCCCCTTTATGTGCCAATAGCTGGAATTAGAATTTGAAGTCAAACAAACTTTTGGCTCTCTCATTCCTTCTAAAGGCTTCATGTCCTCTGAGTTGTAGTGCAGCTGCTCGGCCACTGGTTATTAACCCCTTAGATCCCACTTCTCCAAGGGAAGTGATTCTTTGTCTTCACAAAACTTGAGACTGAATTTGTTGCTCAGGTTTCTTTGTTAGTCCAATATCATTTGTAGCAAAACTGCAGTGATGATTCACTTGGTGTTTGCCCCAGGAAACCAAACCCAAGTCATGATTTCTGTCAAAGCATTTTTAATCCATTTCTTCTGCAATTACTTTCTCTGTAAACTAAGCATAAGCTTTTCAGCTCTGTTCATTAATGGTCCTACATGTTCAGTCCAAGCACTCTGTCTTTATGTGTAGATAGATACATATATATGCAAAAAATCTTTGCAGAAGGTCACGCTGACCAGATGTTACATGTAAATGTCTTTTGTGGACCTTCATCAGTTCTATGGCCTGCAGAAATTCTGCTCATGAAGCTATTATCTTGTGTACCACTTGCCTCTGTGGAGTTGCCCAACACCTCAGAGGCACAGTTCAGATAATGGATGCTTTTCATGGAAGTTCTTTAGTCTACCTAGTACAGCAGGTATATACAATTTAAAAAAAAATAAATTCTTACATTTTGTGAAAAATATTGCATAAAAATCACAGAGAAGAGAAGGTCATTTTGTCTAGGGACTACAACAGTGAGAGGATGTCAAAGATACCTACGTGATGTTCTCCCTGTCTTCCCCTGCACCCTTTTTTTTCTGTCATGGAAGCTTTTACATCATAATTTCTTGTGTTTCTTATGACTGGTAAGAAATTATATTTATTTTGTGTTTATAGATTCTTTATCAGGCTGTGAATTACCAGTTTTTTCCATCAGAAGGAAGTGAGAATATAAATATCTCAGGACCTTCTTCGTTGATCAGTAAGGATACAGAGGTAAGCTTTAAAGAGAGTTTTTAAAGCAATAATGATTTTGTTTTGCATTATGCTGAAGAGCTGAATTTGAGTTTTTAGCAACATCTACCTGTTTACTAGAAAAAATACACAACATTAAATACACCTACTAACTTCTGTTCTTAGATTGGTTTACCTTCAAGGTTTTGCTTATGTATTTATACTTAGTCTGTTCTGATTTTTTTGTTGTTGCTTCTTTCTACACAGTCTTAGCACCGTAGAGAAAAAAACATATAAACCCAGAGGCAGGAGAAGGTGAAAGGGCAACAAAACTTAACACAGTGAAATACATTATCGTTGGATGATTTTTGATCTGTCCCAATTGCAAAGCAAGACATTTGAAAATAAACCTGAGCTATGCATTTAATTAAAAAAAGTCTTGAATTAAGCTTATTTTTCCCCTTTGTTCTGTGCATCATTAAGTTTATGACTTACCATTTTACAACTTTCATATCATAGAATGGTTTGGGTTGGAAGGGACCTTAAAGATCATCTAGTTCCAACCCCTCTGCCATGGGCAGGGACACCCTCCACTAGACCACGTTGCCCAAAGCCCCATCCAACCTGGCCTTGAACACTTCCAGGGATGGGGCATCCACAGCCTCTCTGGGCAACCTGTTCCAGTGCCTCACCACCCTCACAGTAAAGAATTTCTTCCTAATATCTAATCTAAATCTACCCTCTTTTAGTTTAAAACCATTACCCCTTGTCCTGTATTCACATGCATATATGGCATGTGAAACTATTTTTGTGGTAAGATCAGAAGGAAGTTTGAGTGTTTTGTAGGAAATAGAGGCAGAGCAACAGGAAGAAAGTCTACTGTTATTCTTTCTACTTTTCATGTATTATTTTAACAAATTTGTGTACGTGTACAATTGCAAGTACATTTCTGTCTTTAAAAGAAGATGTAATAACCTGTCTATGAAAGAAAGGAATGGTTTTTTCATCCTCTTCAGAGTGGAAAATTCTAAGTTTATTTTTTTCTCTGTTTTCTGTTTGAGTTTTTCTATAGGTGATAAACAGATCTTGGGGGACGGGGCAAAAACCTTAAAGAAATACAGGAAAGAATAGAGAAAGAAAGAAAAAAGGTGGCTCATGTTGCCTAGTCTGGCTTTTTGAGGAAAGTATCTGAATTGCATCCTCCTTAATGTCATTATACCTTTGGGGAATTTTTATCAATGGCAGCTGTAGATGGAACACGCTAGTCTTTGCCCTTGGTATATTTAACACCATGTGGCTTAAAAAACCACACCTCTGCTTCGTGTTATTCAAATGGGAACAGGCTACTTCTGTGTGTATCTCTGTATTGTGTGTATCTCTGTATTTTGTGTATGCTTTTTATATATGTATAGGCATATATGCATACTTTGTATACATATATGCATAGGTAAACATACATACACATGTTTGCATATATATAAAATAGGAAAGTAAAATAGCACTGAAAACAGCATTCAGAGGAAGAGAGCGAAACCTTTTATGCATCTGCTAGAATCATTGATATGAAGAACAGGTCTGTTCACAGGCACAAATGCTTTTTATTTTCTGGAAAATGGTAAATGAATCTCTCCTGAGAGGAAGATGATTAACTAGATGTTAATAAAATTGTGGAACTTTACGAAGAGGGTGTGGATGCGTATTTTTACAATATTTTAATGTATATAACGAATTTGTCATGCATCACCTTTTGTATGCTGTAGTACTATTGACTGTATGTTGTGACAGAACAATTATGCATGCATATAAATGATTCAGAAACTTATTCAAGGGTTTATCAGAGTTGAGTAAACTCACTAATTAACCTCATTATCAATTCAGTTTGGATATCTGAAGCTATTTTCATTATGCTCGGGAATTTGCATTCAGAAAATTATCCACTCTTGCTTTCTTCAATATATCTTTCTTTTTTTTCCCCCCCTTTAGTTGTGGTTGGTTGTCTGCTTCAAATTGGCAGTAGGCAGACAGTTGACCTGGCAAGCTTGTATGTTGTTGCATTGGGTTTTTTTCTTTCTGTTTTAATACAGCTTTTTGGCATGCCATATTTTAGACTGTTACACTATGAAATGAGTTCTGTGTATTTGTTAATTCGGTCTTTTTGTTCTCTCCCAGTTGACTTAATAGGGATTTATAACTTCTTTCATCTCCTGCAATGACACAGGAGGAAACATAGCCAAGAATTTAGTTGCTGTATAACCCTTCCTTTGTTACAGACATCTGAAATGTTAGAAAAGCAATATATTCAATAACTCAGTTTTTCTGACTTAACTGAATCCCATAACTGCAATCCTCATAGTTCCACTTCAGCTAATTCCTCATGCTTCACCTTCATTGTCTTGCACAGAATTTCAGTTTCTTCAAAGAAAATACAAACTATAAGGTTTTTTTTCCCCCTGTCCTTTTTACTCTTTTCTTTTTTACTTATGTCCTGATTAACTTATAGCATCCTTTTCTCAAGGACTTGACAAATGTTCTTCTTTCTCGTTTATTGATACCTTTTCAAATTGGTACTCTGAATGTAATTTTCCTTGACTTGACAGCTTCTTCCAGCATACATGTGTTTGGGCATCCCTTTCTCTGTTGCATTAAAAATACCTATCTCTAAGTATATCAATTCTCCCTTTCAAAGCTTTAGTGACCTTTTTCTCTCTCTTCTTACCTTTATCTAGTATTGAATCATTAGTTGCCACTACCATATTTTTCGTTTTATCAACCTATACCACCAGCTGGTCATACTTGTCAATCATTCTTCTCTTGATGAACTCCTCTCTAGAAATGTCTAAACTAATTTCATTTTTATTGTTTCAAGTTTTTCATCTGAAACTTTTTTTCCTATGAAACTTGCAGGAGTCTTGATAGCTGCTGGCTACATATCTTCATAAATTGCATAGAATTGTGTCATTTAACATTGCTGTTGTATTGTCTTCAGTATAACTTTTCTCCAAGTTTTTGGTGGTTCCTACTCTGAAGGAAATTCCTGATTGCTATGGTAAAGATGCACACAATTATTCTGTAGGAGTTAATGCATTTGCACAAAAATGTACTTTATTACTTTAGTGCCAGCTTATCACAGTTGATTGAACTCATGGGATCCATTGGAGAAATTATCCTCTGGAAGCTACAGTGATTCAAACATAGCAGATTATTTCTAAGGAAAACGTTAAGTTTCCCCAGTCCCCACTCCAGCTGCCGTTTCAAATAGTTGTGATTTTTTAAAATTTATTTTATTTTTTATTTTGAGATTAACTGGAACTATGTTTTGTCATTTAATAAATGTACTGGTTTTAATTCTGTAATAATGAAATTAGAATTCTTCTCACAGGAAGAGGTAGCAGTAATTCCTGAAGGAATTGTGCTCTTTTACAGTGTCACTGAACTCTTGTACAGAAAAGGAGAAAAACCTCAATGTGGAACTCTGTATGTGTACTATTTAAACTCCTGTTGTAGTCAGTAGTGATCCAGTTAGTGGTGCATAGGGAATAATGCAGTTAATCAGCCATTAGGTGATTGATTTAGTTACTTCATGATAGATATCAACAATTTCAGATGCCCTAAGTTATCCTCCCGTCCTTTAGCTACTGACCCAAAGAGTCTGGGTCCTCTGTCAGATCTACAAGTGTTAAGCAGATATCTTAATTAATGCCATATATCTCAAACAGTCAGCTGCTTAAATATAGGCTTTGATGAATCAAATGCATTCTGTATACTTAAGGCTGGCTTACTGTTTCCGTTCCAGTGACATAGCCCTAATAAGAGCTTAGACATCCAGTGACACCTGAATTTGAGCGTTGGCATCTTGAGCTGAACCTTTTCCCTAGTCTCTCATCAAGGGTCTGTTTTTTCTTTGCAGGACTGAAGTTTTCATTTAAACAGGTTCATTAGCTGTAACATACATTACAAAAAAAACAACCAACCAAAGCCACATACCCAAAACTCTGCAAGGCACAAAACATAAATGTAGAATAAACATGAATACTTCTGTAAAAGAGACTGCTTTAAGTTCCTGTTTTCCAATGGGAGTACCAGAAAGAGAAAAAGAAAAGGGAAAGCTAGTATACTGTGTTCTGTCTTATGAACAGAATCTATTCCACCTGACTTTGTTTCTTTCATAATCTTAATGCATAACGATTTTTAATGCATAAGATGTATACAATGTATGGTTTTTGCATGTCTTGATCCTTGCAACTTGACTAATTTGTGATTAAAGACCCAAAAAAAAAAAAAAATCCATGTTGCAGGTGTTCTAATTTATTACTCTCTCTTATGTGGCTTATTTGAAAAATAGTTGACTTTATTCCAATGCAAGGACAAATAATATTTGGAATGATATATATGTGTAAGTATGAGCATATGTGTATAATTATATATAAATATTTTAGCTGTTACTTTAGAGTATCTTGACAATTCAGAATTTGTTGGCTGACTTTTTTTACACCAGTTTAGATTCATACACATTTTTAACCTGCTAATTTAGGATTCGTAAATTGTTGTTGTTGTTGTTACCATTTTTAATCAGAAGTACTTACTTTTATAAAGGATATCAGGAAGAAATACTAGAAGAAAATAATTCCCACCAAACACCCCTCAAAACCCCCAAACTATAACATCCTTCTGAAGATACAATTAAAGATATATTTAAATTTGTCTTCTTAAAATGTGATCTCCAACAGTCTTTAAGAAATAATTTATTTTATGAGAGATTGATTCAGGATAGCAAAAAGTTATAGGCTGAAATTGTTACTGTCCCAGGTACACAGAGGAATGGGGAATGGCTTTTCAGAAAATAGAATTATTTGTGCAGAAAACTCTCTGAGCCTGTCTTCACAGGAGAGGTGCTCCAGCCCTCTGATCAGCTTTGTGGTCCTCCTCTGGACTCGCTCCAACAGCTCCATGTCTGTCTTGTACTGGGGCCCCCAGAGCTGGATGCAGTACTGCAGGTGGGGGCTCACCAGAGCAGAGTCGAGGGGCA